CTCAAAGCCTACCACGTGCTGCCCTGCCCGGTCCTTCCCCTACTCCTGGTCCTCCAATGTCACAGATCTAGCAGGATCTCCCTCCTGCTCAGAGCACTCTGAAGCTGCCCACGGGTGCCCTCAGATCAAAAGTAGGGGTCCTCCAGTTTTGGTGCAAGGGTCCTGCCCATCTTTATTTCCCATCTCCCCTGTGACCTATTCACCAAAAGAAGCCACGTATTCTCCCATCCCCAGGTCTCTCCAGCCACCTTCCCACCCTCACACCAGCAGCACTTCTTCCTGGAAGCCCTCCCTGACCACTCCACACTCCCACAACCTCAGCACTGCGGAACTGAGCGTGTAGCACCCCAGACTCTTGAAGTAACTGCAGAGTCGCCACATGTGTGTTGTTCCCTCCCACTCCAGCCCCAGTCCCAGGATGAGCCCACATGTATACTATGGTGAGGCCTGAGCCCACTGCAGCTCAGAAATCCCAAGGAGCTACTAGCCTGCAAGGGTCTCCCTGGCTCCTCCCACAAAATGCCAGGAAGGGTTCCCACCCTCTCCAAGGGAAGCCACAGATCCAGGATTCTCTGTCCTCTCAGGAATGGAGTAAGGTGTTCCTCAAACTGCCCTCAAACCAGAGCTTGGCCTTACTCTGCATACAGCCCAGCAAGAATCCCAGTGGCTCCACCTCCCAGGAGGTCCAGAAACTAACTGGTGCTCACGACCAGCACCCTTGGACTGAGACCCCCACTGCCACTCCAACCTGTTCCCCACTTTCCAGGGGCAGGGGTACCTTTAGGATCTCAACCAGTCCCTGTCCCTCCCTAATCCAACTGCCCTGTGGCTCCAACTCACACCCTGCAACACTTCCAAAATAATGTCGGGGGTCCTGTCCCCCATATGCTCATGGTCAGTTGTCTCTGCCTTGGCATCTGGCTTACTGTCCCTTCTCCCCATAATGCCCAGTGCTGGGTCTCTCCCCCTCCACCCACCCTAGGCATCTGCCCCTTCTTGTACACACAGCCCACACAAGACATGCACTGATCTGTCCTCTGTCTGTGTCGCCCCCCAGGATGGGATTCTGCGTTGTTGGAGGACATCATCTTGGTCACTGTGTCATCCCCAGCACTCACAGCAGTGCCTGGCACTCAGGAGGTGCTCATTGAGGTCATGGTGCCCCCTGGGCCATCAGAGGAGTGGTGCCTACCACAGAAAGCGCCCATAGTCCACACCTAGAAGTAGGCACACCCCCGGGAGAAGGGGTGTGGAAAAAGGAGGGAGAAGGGGTGAGGGAAACGGAGGGAGAAAGGGCAGGAGTGTTTCTTTCATCTGTTCGCCAAACTTGAAAAAAAAAGACTTCAGTACTATATAATTTTGATCTCCTTGAAAACCCAAAAAGTCTAACAAAGGACCCAGTGGAAAGTCTCACCAGCAACCTCCTCCACCACCATTCACCCCACCCGTCACCCAGCAAGCACAAGGAAGTGGAAGCGCTGATGCTAGTTTTCCATGTATCCTTTTGGGTTTGAGGGTGCACAAGTGCACACATGAATTTATATTCTGATTTTATAAGAGACAAAATGCATTACACACCAATCAGCTCCTCATTCTCTTCTAATAGATCTTAAAAATCTTTCCATAGAGAGCTTCCTTGGGTCTTTTTTATAGCTACCTAATAATCCACAGCCAGGATGTGGATTTATTCAACCAGCATGCCTCATCCTGGATCTCACAGTCTGTCAACAGGACTGTCTCCCCCACTGGCCTGTAGATTTCTGGGGAGAGAATCCCCACCCCCACCCCAGCACCAGCCCTGACACAGGACCAGATCAAAGGAGTGACTAGCAGGAAGCCTGACCTTTTTGCCAGCATCTTCTCCACTGAGGCACAAAGACCCAAGTATGCAGCCAGCTAAGGTGTCTTTAAGGGGAAACTGCATCACCTGACTCTCTGGCTCAAAACTACAGCAGCTTTCAAACTCCCAGACAGTGGCTTCCTTTAGCCCCAAGCCCGTGCCTAGCCCAAGATGGACAAGTGACTTCCTCCTTTAGCTGGAAGGTCCTGGGAAGAGTCCTCAGAGTTCGTGGTTGGGTTCCCACTTCCCAACTCAGGCCCAGGGCACAGAGCGGCCAGCAGCAGCCCCAGGCGTGTGCCCCCTGTAGCCATCATGCCACAGGCCTAAAACAGCTGTGGTCCCATGCACCGAGGCTGGGCCTGGTCTCCATTCACTTGGGCACGAGCTTCTGGGCACACACTGTGCAGCAGTCAGAGAACTGAGGAATGAGAATAACACAGGGTTGCCCCACCCCATGCCACCCAGTAAGCAACTGCCCGAAGCAACTCAAGAAAGCAGTGGAAGCCAGATGTCCCTCTGGCTGCTGTGGGTCCCCCGAGTTCCTCTCTGTGTGGCATCTCATTTGCCACCACCAGCCAAGGGCTTATGGAAAAAACTGTTCCTACCTCTAAATAAATGCAAGGCGGATGCCACATCTGGTGTCCTAGAGAACCAACCTGGGCATTCCTGGGGCCACAGGGACTCCCTGAAACTCAGGGGTTTCCACCTGGTGGCAAGAATCCTGTTTTCTGGCTGATTAAAAGGGGTGCAGGCCTCAAGCAGTCTTCCCTTTTAGGCCTTCAATTTGGTTCCACCCTAACCCCTACCTGAGCAGTTTCAAAGACCTGAGTCCAGCCACAAGTATTTATTGAGTACTTACTGTGTGTTGTGCATGGAGCACACTCAGGGAGTTGACCCAGGGTCAATGACTCAAGCCCCACCTCCCAATACTCACACTCACTTGGTGGGGGTTGTTAGGGTTTGCAGAGCCTGAGTTGAAATCCCTGCTTCCCAGCTTGTTTGCTGGAAATAATTTTTCCTTTTTTCTTTTTCTTTTTCTTTTCTTTCTTTTTTTCTTTTTTCTTTTTTTTTTTTTTTTCCTTAGGGTCTCACTACGTAGCCTGAGCTGGCTTCAAACTCAAAATCTTCCTGCCTCAGCCTCTGGGCTATTGGAGTTCCAGGCAAGCACCTCCACGCCCTGCTTTTTAATGCCCTTCCCCATTGGCCAAGTAAGGGTCAGACTAATTTGCAGGATGGTCAGTAGGTCTAGGAAAGGAAGCAGTGGACAGGGCCTGACTCGGACTACATCACCATAGGACTCCAGATCCCTGTCCACATAGCCCAGCAGAGCTGTCTGTGGGCCAAGGCCTTGGACACCTCTCACACACCCAAGGCCTTGGATAAATAAGGCTTCCAGCCACGAATGCATGCCAAGCCTGGACCCACCCTCAAGGTGAGCAGAGGAGCCGAAGGGTCCAGACACAGCCACAGAGGCAGGCTGGAGGCTAGAGCAGCAAGAGAGCCTGGTAGAGACTGAGGCCAAAGGCTACTCCTACCCCACCTTAGGGAGATGGGCAGGCAGCACTAGCCAAGGGGTGTCAGAAAAGCATGTGGACCCCAAACCTCCAGATCTCGTGATTTTTTTTCGAGAGAAGACGGAAATCTGGACATTTATGTGAACCCAGCCAATTTGTAAATGCTGGCAGCTAATTAAGATTTTTTTTAAAAAAAATAATAATAACACGACAAGAGCCAAACAAAACAGGCAGGGCTAGCCCCAGCCAGAGCTGGCAGGTCTAAAGTTCCAGAGAAAGAGGCTTTGACTTCATCTGCTGCCCACCCTGTCCCCAGCTTGGGATGGGGGGTGGCTTGCAGGAAGCCTTGGGTGTACACCAGGGCAAAAGCTCCCATCCTGTCCAGCCCTTCCTCCAGGGGACATCTTCACCCCCACTTTGCAAATAGGAAGCAAAGACTGAGGGGCCCATTTGCTCAGTGTCAAACAGCATTGGCCCCCACTGTGAACCCAGTCCATAGGGACCCATCCCTGTGTGCCACCCAAGCCACTGGGCTTCCCACCAAGGAGACCCTGGGTCAGCCCCCTTCTCTAGGAGCCTCTGGAGGAGCAAGCACCCTGCCTGCACACTTTCCTCTTCTTTCTCTGGCCTTCCTCAGTGACACCTGCTGGCACAGGCTGGTCAAGTGGCCACCACAGAGCTGAGCAGGGAGATACCAGGCCAGCAAGGAAGAAGGGCAGACTTGGCTAACTAAGGAGTAGACTGCAGCAGAGAGGGCAGAGGATGAAGGAGGACTGAGAAGGCATGCCCACCTCTGCAACCAGTGCTTCCCAGAGCCCCCCAAGCCCCCGGAATCAGAGGCTAGCATAAGGCCGGCCAGCCACCCCCACCCTCCCCCCAAGGCTGGGACTCCCCAGCCCACCGGACAGGGGGACTGGGCACCATGGTGTGTGTGACTGCGTGCAACGTCCTGGGTTGTGAGGCACTGAATGCGGGGCTGTGTCTCTGCATACATAAGAGGCAAACACATGTGTGAGAGACACGTGTGGCACATATGATGGAAGCTATATGTGATGCCCATCCACGTGGGCTGATTCGTATGCATGTTAGGCACGTGTGTTCCATCAAGACACAGCTATTTGATGGAGGGCCACTTGTGTCTGAGGGACACTGCCTTGTGTAGGAAGCACATGTGAGCAAAAGAGTCCCTGTGTGGGAGACATCGTGGAGTGGGGAGGGGGTGCAGTGTTCACGAACACACTACAGAAACTTCTGCGTGGAGGTAAATGTGATAGGATGAAGGGTCGTGGCTGGTAGGTGACAGATCCAGAGGTCCAGGTCTTTCCTGCCCTGGGGGTGGTGACCTGGGTGACCTGTGGGATGATCCCATGTGGTAAAGGACCCTGCTGTACAAGGCTGGGACAATGATCAACGGAACCAGGCTAGGGGCACGCGAGGAAGAGAAAGTTCGGGTGGGTGGGGGACCCGCCCGCCCTTCCGTGGCAGCCCCCACGCGGCGGAGATCCGATCGAAAGACCCGGCGGGTGGGTGGTGGCGCGGGGAGGCACGGGCGTTGGAGCCTTGGACGTGCCTGAGCCTTAGCCCGCGAGGAGAGAGAGGCGCCCGGTGGGGACGCGGAGTCTGGGCAGGAGGGGCGTGACACTCACCGAGGTGCGCTCCGCTCGGCCGCGTTGGTCTGTGGAGCAGCCGTCGGCTTCCAGAACCCGGGCCCTCGGTTGCGCGCGGCGCGGGGAGGGGCGAAGAGCGGGTGGGTGGGGCGAGGGGAGCAGGGAGAACGCGGGCTGGTGGGCGGGGGGAGGGGCGGGGCGAGCCGCCGTGCCCCGCCCCTGCCCCGCCCCGGGAGGAGTCTTTCGTCTTGGGACGAGTAGGGCGGGGCGCCTTGGGAAGTTGCGTGCAGCTACCTGAACCCCGTGGCTCTTGCACAGCCCTCTATGCACTATTTTCCCGCCCTAATTAAACTTGAAGTCCCACTGTGGACCAGCCCCTCTGCCAGCCTTGGTCTCAGGGATACCACCTGGATGGAGAGAGCCCAGAACCCTTTGCTCGGACACAACAGGCTCAAAACAAACCAGGGGCCAGCCTGTCAGAGGCCGCTCCGAACTCCCACCACAATGCTGCCTCTGGTATCAACACAGAACACTGACCTGGCACCCCACTGAGGCAGGTGATGACACCCCAGTTTGGCTGGCAGACCAGACTTCGTTAGGAACTGGCACCGCTAGAGTCAGGCCATCTCGGGCGAGGGGCGGTCTTTCAGGTCCTTCTCCAGGCCAGAGGCTCCAAGCCCACATGGGAAGATCCGGGTCCTGCCGGCCCAGGCCCCACATTCCTGCCAGAGCTCAGGGTCCCGCCCCCAGCACCCACAGGGGGTCCCAGAGGCCAGTGGGCAGGAGAGCTCTGGAATGCCCCCCACCTACATGTCTGTCCACCTGTCCTTGTGGCTGTCTCTCTCTACCTGTCCAGGCACAGCCATCTCTGTTTCTCTCTTCTACTGTAGCAAAATGTACATAGATAAAGCCCACCCTTTTAACCACTTGGAACTCCACACATGGATAGCAGAACTTTTAGAACTTCTCTGGCCCTTTTGGGACACACCTGTGTCTCTCATGGTCTCTATCTCTGTGAGCATCCTCTCTGTCCTTCTTAGTGTGTCCTTCAGAGGGCCCATGTCTGTCTGCCCCTCTCCTTTCTTCCCCCATCACTCTCTCTCTTCCTTTATGCATCTATCTCTGTTTTAATATCATCTCTCCCTATTTCCCTCTGTTTGTCCTTCTTGGTTCCTAACTCTCTGTCTCTTGGTCTCTGTGTCTCACTCCCTAGTCCACATTTTCTAGGATCTGAGGCTCAGCATCCCTTCCCTTGCCTGTCACTACCTCACATCTCAGAAGCTGCCATGGCCCCAAAGTGTGGCCATCTCCACCCCTGGGCCCCTGCAGCCCAGGGCAGCAAAGAGGCAGTCGAGAGCAACTCAGAGAGGGACACTTGCCTGAGGTCACATGGGGAAAGGAGGTGCAGCCAGGAGGGGCCCTGAGGCTCGCAGCAGAACCAGGAGGGGATGAGGACCAAAGCCTGCGCAGAGATCCAGGCCAGCTGCCTCAACTTTCAGTGGAAACCCAAGCCATGCCCTTTCACACCAGCCCAGAGAAGTAGCAACTGACACTCTAGCCTGCTGCTGTGCCCTTTTCCCCAGTTAAGGGGTGTGTGTGTGTGTGTGTGTGTGTGTGTGTGTGTGTGTTATGTTAAGGATTGAATCCAGGATTTTTGCACTGAGCTACATCCCTAGACCATTTTTTATTTCGAGACAGGATCTCCCTATCTTGGTAACTTTTCTGTCACAGGGACAAAATACCTGACACCCAAAATTAGGGAAGTGTTTACTTGGTTCACCAGTTTGTAGAGGTTTCAGTGCATAAACAGTTGGCTCCAAGGCAGGGTGGCATGGCACAGGGGCAACAGTTCATGGTAGCAGAAGACAGCAAAAGCAACAAGAGCAAAAAAGGAGGGGCCTTAGGGTGTGTGCAGCACTCACTCCCATAATCCCAGCATTGGACCATGAATCAATCAAAAGCTCTAGAAACATGCCCCATTACCACATGAGGCTTTGTGGGGACACCCAGACATAAGCCATAACACTCCCCAAGTTGCTAAACTGCCCTGGCTGGGCTTGAATGTGATCTTCCTGTCTCAGCCTCTTGAAGCGCTGAGACTATAGGTGTCCACTACAATACCCTGCTCAGACTGAATTTTTAAAGTTCACTCATAAGTGACTACTATAACCTGGTAGTTAAGAACTACTGTATGCCAGCTGTGTGACTGTGTCCCAGTGGCTATTCTCTGGGTCTTTGTTTCCTGTTTTCTGAGGTGAACACAGTGACACCAAGGCCTGTCTCAGGGATGGGGAGGATGACCTCCCTGAAATCAGCAATTGGGGCTTCACCCAGAGAGTGCTCGGTAAGTGAGGGCCCAGTGAGGAAATAACAAATTGAAGCCTTTCTTCTTTCGGTGAGGGAGGTCACCTGGGCAGTAGAAGATGACAGATCCTGAACTGCCTACCCTGCCCTGCCTTTCCCTGCCACAGGCCCCAGACCTGGAGGCAAGAGGCTCAAAGCACAGCCTAAGAAGCCACAGCCTGGTAAGCTTCATGCCACCAAAGTGCAGATATTTCCCCAGCCTCTGTTACTTGAGTCGGAGATGTGGCCAAGGCTCCTGTCCCCTGGGATCCCTGCCAGGCTGTTATCGCAGACAGAGTGCACATCACACACCAGGAATTTGGAGCCCGGGACTGGCTGACACACAGTTGGAGGAAGTTGCAGGCTGATAAGGCGCGACAGAATGGTCACAGTGGGACCAGGGTTATCCCCATCAGTTACCATCTTACCGAGACTCCAGAGCCAAGAGACAGGACCCCACTTGGCCACCTGAGTAGCCAGACAGGGAACAGAAGGCTCGCTGCCCTTGGGCTGTGTCCCCACTGGGTAGCTTTGGGGACATCACTGAACCTCTGAGCCTCTGTCCTGGTATCTGGAAATAAGAGTCATAATAGAAACCTCATCCATTAACACCTAAGGTTTAGAAGTAAGGGCTCCGGCTTAAATCCAGAGCCTCCCAGCATGGCCTTAAGCAGGAGCTTTCTTCTTCCTCCCTTGGTGTCCCAGCTGCCCACCTGAGAGGAGACCATGTGACTCAGGCTTCCTATCTTACCAAGTGACCTCCCCACTTCCTGTGAATTTCTACCCTGGTAGCATCAGCCACACGTATTATAACGCACTTAAGGATTCCTTCTTTGAATCCCCAAATGCTGAGCTAAATGTACTTTGTTTTAGAGAAGCACATATCCTTGGCAAGAGAAATTGGACTAAGACTGTCATGGTTAATCTTGATTGCCAATTTGATAGTCCTGACAGACACCTGGGACATTAGCAAAGCAGAGTGTGTCCAGGCAGAGGTGAAGGTGTGGCCTCAGGTGCTGCATCTTCTCTGGCTTTTCCCCTGTGCCCACTTCCTGGCCGACACTCCCTTCCACCATGCCCTTCTGCAGGGATTATATGACTTGGGGCCTGCTGATCACAGACTGAACCCTCAGAAACCATGAAGAAAAATAAGCCTCTCCTTCTTTAAATTGTGTCAGGTATTTTGTCCCAGTGGTGGGAAAATGACTAAGACAAAGATGACATTCAGAGATTGCAAGCAGCTCTTCAGATAGAGGTAGGTCCACCTCGCCCAGTGTGGCACAGTCTGACTTCCTGAGGTCCCAACCAAGACCCAGGGCAGCACTGCTGCAGATAGAGCTCTAGAATAAGACTTCTCAGCCCTCTCCAGCATTATCCATCCACACCCCAGCCCCTATTCCCCAGAGCCCTACTGAAAAAAGCTGCTTTACACATGGGGAGCCTCCCCACCTCCCCTCTGTGGCTAGTGTCCGACTCAAGTCCAGCTTCTGGCTCATGTCTATCCCTCTCTTCTTGCTGTCTAGAGTGACCCATCCAGCCCAACCAGGTGGAGGAGTCCCTGGTACCATGGAGTCACCACACCTCGCCACAACCTTCACCTGAAAAGTCGTAAACTGTGGGTCTCTTTGTCGCAGCAGCTTAACCTGTGCCTAAGCAGTCACCCCTCTCCAACTTCTGGGACAGAGGTCGTTCCTCCCCAGCCTTTGTAGCTGGGCTGGGCCTGGATGAGAGGCTCTGAGTGTAGGGAAGGCCTGGTTTGGGCTGAGAGCCTGGAGTAGGACACAGCCTCAGGGCAGAGGTCTGAGAAGCAGAAGGGAGGTGACAAGGTGACAAGACGTTCAAGCGCTTGATTGTACAGTGGCCTGAAGTCATCCCAGCCCTTAAAGCTTCTGCCAAGTGGAGCTGAAGTTTTATTTTTGAGTTTGGTTATTTCATGCGGGGCTTCAGCCAATTGGAGCTGGAGCTTCCGGTGGACAGATCCTAAGATCAGAGAGCCTTGACTACTAGAACTTGGCTACTAGAACTCAGTTCTTGGAGGCTACGTTACCTACCGAGGGGCCCTGCCAGACAGCCCAGGCCCTTCAGACAGGGACTTAGCCACTGACTGAGGACCTGCTTTTTACAACTTCCCAATTCCCTTCAAGAGTGGCTCCCCTTACAATAAAATGAATGATGTTTGTTAGGGAAGATACCTTCTTATGTTACCGAGATACTGTGTACCAAGCACAGAGAAATTTTGTGACTCCTCTAGGCACACCTGGAGGCTGTCCATACTGTTATCTCCACTTTACAGATGAAGACGCTAAGGAAGGCTCAGGGGAAGAGTGGGGTTTCAGGCCCAGAGCAACCAGGCACCCAACTGGCACCTCTCCCCTCGCCTCAGCTTCCAGGGAAGAACAGACTGCGGAAGGAGGCAGTGAGGCCCCACCATTGGGCACACACAGCAGAGTGCTGGGAGGAGCATAAACAAAAAGGAGTTGGGGGTTACTACTGTGCTTCCCTCCTTCCTGGACTCAGCCCAGCCTGGCGCCTCCTGCCTGCCAGGAAGGCCGGCCCCTGCCCCTGAGGCTGCTGGTCCTGACTCACCACAGCCCCTCCTGCCTGGCGTGAGGACATTTCTGGCATGTCTCAGTTCTGGCCACCCTTGGCCCAGCCTTGAGGTTCGAGCCAGCTGTCCTGGCAGGCAGAGGCTGGGGATGAGGTTGCCAAGGTGGCCCCAATGGGCTAGAAAGTAAGGTTGAGACGCCTCAGAGCCCTTGCCCTCTGGAGAAACCCA